TCCTCAATCAGTGTCAGAGTCTTTACCAGAATTGGGAGGAGGGCAGGCTGTGGGTCACGCTGCAGCAGGGCTGCTGTGCTGGTAGTTGGGAGACTGGGTAGTGCTCTACCCATTTGGAAGGGGGGCAGCAAGAAGGTGCCAGAGTGAGAGTAGAACACCAATAGCAGCTGGGATGGGAACAGTGTCCTGGGGGCTACATGTTTCGCCAGAGTCTGTAGGGCTGAGGACCATGGAGAGGGTTCCTGTGAGGTGGAGGGTATGGGCTCAAGCTCAGTGTTAATTGCACCCATTAATTGCACCCAGTCAGCCCAGTCAGCTGGGGCCAGATCCCTGGCTTGTGCCAGACCCTTCGCCACCCGACACTGCCACCCAGAGCCCAGGGCTGACTTCCCAATGCCTCCTGCCAGCCTGGGGCTGCTCCACTGTAGTTCTAATTGCTGCAATCCTGGGCACATGTGTAGATGCTGCATTCAGGAGAAGTTAACTCTAGCATAAACCACCAGAGTTTATTGTGGTGCCTTAATAGCATGTGTAGATGCACCTAGTAAGGCAGAACTTATGCTCATCTCCACCTTCAGCTTCCTGCTGCTGATCCTCTTCAGCCCCTGTGGTTGGTTTACATTTTTTACACCAGCTTATGAAAGGCCTAAATGTATTTTTTAATGAAAGCTAACATACATCATGATGAGAACAAAGTGCTACCCTGTTCACAAGAGGCTAATGTAAGCTCCTTCCAGCTCATCTATGATACAGAACCCAGACGTTGGGCCAGGCCTGGCAGCAGGACTGGATGTGACAGAAGACCACTGAGTAGCACTTGGAATCAGCTGGTTTAAGAATAGTGAATGATACAATCAATAGATTGAAGACAATCCTCAATAGCTCCCCTGTCTTGGAACCTATCTGTAGGTAGGTATTAGTGACCCATCTAGACTTTCCCTATGCCTGAAGGAGGGTGTTTGTGCCCAAAAACTTGCAAAGAACAATTTTTCCAAGTATTTAGTTGGTCTAATAAAAGATATTGCATCTACCCAAAGAACCTTGTTCATCTAGTTTTACGTTCTTGGTAAAGAACGTTGTAGCCTTTCTCCAATTTTTTGCATTAAATTTGTCTGGGATGCATCTGTCTTGTGTTTAGCCCTTCAAAATTGATCTTTATGCATTATGTTTTTTACCTCTCAGCTCATTAAGTTGCTTGATCTGTTTTGGAGTCAGAAAATGTTCAGGCAGGAGAAAATTTCAATCAAATCAACCTTCCACGGAAAAACAACTGCCTGTTTGCCATCTGCAGTGGGCATTGATCCCTAGCTTGTTTGTGCCTTGCATTTGTTATGCATGAGTAAGCACATTAGCCTTTTCATTTCATTCATTAGACAGTAAGTCTTTGATTAGTGTTTTCTAGTTTCTATCAAATATACTACTACTAGTTTATTCATTTTGTCCCAGGTTTCTCTTTTACTTTTGTTTTAACACAGAAGAAATGTAACAGTTAAGCACAATTTAACCCTTTTGGCCTTTTTTCCCATAGGAATTGCTAAAATATATACTTTTCTCTCATTGAAGTATCTGTTGTGTGGATGATGTATCAATGATTTTACCTTTTAAGTAGGCTGATTATAATGAGATCCAGGACATCTGGGACATTCATCTGGAACATCAAGGACACTGCCCTCCCCACCCCTCCAAGCGCTCTCATAAGTTGGCAGGGGCACAGCTTGCTGTGTAGGCAGCGGTACCTGCCTGCCCACCTGCAAGGTACACCATTCCACTCCAACTCCTGGCCAGACTATGTCTCACACCCCTGCATTTCCAAGATGCCCATCATAATTCCAAATAGCTAGCTGGGACCAGCCTGTGAAATCCCAGACTGTCCCAGCTAACCCAGCACATATGGTCACCCTACTTCTAAGGCTAATGCAGTGATTTTTTTTTTCAGATAACAGAGTATTTCCTCTGAGATTGGCACTCAAGTTTGACTGCTAGCCTCATTTTATTCTTAAATGGAGACAGGTAGTAAACCATGTTAGTGTAAACTCAGGCAGAAAATGTACCTTATAGACTAACTAAATCAGAGGTGCATTAGGTTTTCATGAACCAAAGCTCACTTTATCAAATGCAATGAAAATACGTGGAAAGAGATGGCAATCAAATAGAGTTATTTGAATACAGAACATCTGACAGCATCTGATGAAGTGAGCTTCGGCTCATGAAAGTTTATGATATATATATATATATATATATATAAGTATATAATTAGTCTATAAGGTGCAAATCTACTCTGCCTTCTACATGACTTCCTATAAACATGACTAACTGCATCTCTTGGAATTTCTTCAAAAAGCATCTTGATGCTCATCTTGCTGGGGTCATCTGACCCCAACGATCTTTCCTGCCCAAGTGCAGGAGGGGCTGGACCCAATGATCTGTAATGTCCCTTCCATCCCCTAACAACTGTGAAACTATGAATTCAAAAGCTAGGAAACTGTTGAGTGTAGGGGCGGGGGGAGGAGGGGCTGCAATGCTGAGAAAGCCAAACCCATAGGGACACAGGGGTAAAACAAAACAAAAAAACAGGTCATAATAATTTGTAATCCCTGTTGAGACCATACTTTACACAACCCGGTCTGTGGATATTTCTTGTTCCACAATGTTACCGTTTTTAAAGTTTTGATGTATAAGCTACTCTGAGGTCAGCAATGAATTGTCCATGAAAGGCTTGAGTGTTCTTCCACAGCCTTTTGTGTGTTTCTGAAGTTGACATCAGATCAGTTTCCCTTCATTCTTTCATGTACTGATTGTCCTATCTGCCCAATATAGATGGTAGAGAGGCAGTGTAAGCAGCTGATGGCATATGTGACATGGGTAGAAGGCAGGTGAATAAAGTTCAAATGTTATCATCTGTGCTGTTTGATTCAATGCTGCTGTGTTTTGTATTGATGTGGGAACACCATGCATCTGGGTCCATTGCAAGGCCTGATGCCTGATTGAGACTAGGAGTTAAGGTAGCCCATTGCTTAAGATCTTGTGTAGATGGGTGCATCTACACAAGATGCTACTGTGCAGTCGTTACTGTGTATTTATTTAGTACTAGTATTAATAAGTACTAAATAAATGCTCAGTAACCGGAGTTACTGTGCAGTAGTGCCAGTGAACATCTTCTAAGTGATGCTACTCCACAATAGCCTAATAATACTGCACAGTAGCGTATTGGCACTATCTGTGCAGTGACGTGCTACTAAGCAGTATCTTTTGGCTACTGTGCAGTCAGCATCTTGTAGATGCAACCACTCTTGAGGGATTGTGTAAAAAATGGTTTAAACAGGGACTGTGGATTATCACCTGGATTATCCCATCACCTGGATTAGCCTTTTTGACCCCCTTTGTCCCTATGGGTTTATTACGTGTTTGCCTCTCTCAGCACTGCTCTCTGCTTCATTCCCTGTTTTTTGTCTTCAAATCACTGTCTCTTATTTGATTACCTGTTATGTGCATGTCCTTTCATAGTGTCACATGAAATGAGCTCTGGCTCACAAAAGCTTATGCATTAGTTATTCTACAAGGTGTACCTCCACCCTTTATTCTTGAAGTGTTTTACAGCTCCAGTATCACATGTAGTAGTGAATGTTTGCTATGTAAACTTTGCGACCTTCTATAACTAAAGTGATTAGTGAATGGATAAGATAAGATAGACAAAACAATGATTTTTGAGATGCTCCATAGAGAAATTTCAGATGGCAGTTTAGGTGAAAGGTCAAACTGTTAAAGCTGTTTTTTATTAACACAGGTGCTTCTCTCATAACACCTATACTTTTCTTTTCTTTTCCTGTGAAACTATAGTTGCCTCACCTTCCCTGCCTTTGGTTTGATGTATATGAACTGCAGCAAAATACTTTTTACTAAAATATTCTGTTTCTGCAAAGCACATGGTACTTGTAAAATACATGACATGGAAGTATAAACTGAAGGTTTCTTTGACCTGTTTTTGAGATGAGAGACAGTTAACCATGTTAGTCTGAAGTAAAGTAGAAGGCAGGGTGGACTTGCACTTTTTTGAGATACTACGCTTCGGTCTTATTTAGTGATTTAAGTGATATCACTTGTGAATAGTTTGACTGGCCATGCCAAATGCATACTGCTCAAAATCTTTATTCCATGTTACATCATCATCAGTGACTAAAGTGTGTGTGTGTAAAAGCTTACCTTTTTCTTTGTTGTTTTTCATGTATAATCTAAAAGTTCTTTACATCCTCTTTATCAGATAATTTAACTAAGTGTATCAGTGTGCATATGTATTATAAATATTAAATGAAAATTTAAAAACTAAATTTTTTCCTAAAGTGTTCATGAGTTAGTAGACTATATAAAACAGCTGGACCTGCCTCTGATCTGGAAGTTCCATTTTGGGAATCTAACTTCAGCTAAAATGGAGGTTTACAATGTCAGTATTTTTTGTTTGCTTGTTTGTTTGACTGTAGTGAAACATTGCCCCATACTTGTATTAGGATGGATTTATTTAAGCCAAAGTAATTTTAAATCACTGGCTTTAATCAGAATTAAATCACCAAAGAAACAACAGTGATTTAATAATCAATATAATTTTTTGCTTTTGACCTTTTGTCTATCTTCTTACAAAAAAATCAGTTCTCATTAGTTGATAACCATTAAAACGTGTTAAGAAATATAGCCTTTATTTTAAATCTGGTATTTTTTTTGTTAATCTTTATGTCCATTTACTTAAGCAGTTATGTGGCATGATATAAATTTATTCAGATTCTCAATATTTACTATTATGTTCAAATATTGGAAATGATTAATTACTTCTTTACTAGGTTATTAATATTATAGTCAGGATTAGTTTTGATCTGCATTTGGATGGAAATAGGAATTCAGTTTAAATGCATAAAACGTTATATCATTTAAATGCACTGATAACAGTTTGGGTTTGGTATTTTGCATTTCCCCACATGCTTTACAGGTGTTGTTTTTTTTTCCCCTGTTAGGATGCTTCAATTGCACACAGATTCCACATCATGCGAGAAAAACATCCAGAGAAATTCAACAGCAGGTAAGACACTTGAATAGGCACTCGGCTAGGATCATCAGGGACAATTCTGCCTTGAGCATGGGTCTGAACTAGATGACCTTGTGAAGTCCCTTCCAGCCCTACTTTCCTCATGATCCTAAGAACACAAACATTATCTGTATAAGAATATGTTGTTTCCAGATATGAAATATGTGTTTTTCATGAGAAGGTAAGTTTTGCATATCCCTTTATAAATCTTCATTATTACTGCAAGGCAGATTATCAATGCATTTCACTTTAAACATGGGCTGTCAGCTTACTTCTGATATCACTCAGTTATATCTAGTAACACAATTGAAATGAATGGAATTAGAAATGTGATGTTCTCATATGTAACATGTTTGAGTTTTAAGATTAGGATGATGGAAACAACGCACAGTTTATCTGAAGATCCCTGAGTTGACACTGCCATTAGACACTGCTGAACATTTTATTATACAGCTGCAGCTGGTGTCCTTGTGTTTCATTCCCACATGCATGCTGGCATGCTGATAGGGGGCTCTTCCACATATATGCTTAGAGAGGGCGACTGAATGCCATTTAAAAATACATGCTTCTTATTAAGAAACACTAGGTATATACACACTGACAAAAAAAACTTAGCTTAAAAACTTAACTGTGTGTTCCTTTTGAGTGTCATATGGATGGTTATTCCAAATGTGTTATAATATGCAATGTTAATGTGGTGTGTTGGGTAGATATGGTTTGTTGAGTAGAAAATATCTCTAATACAGTGCTTGTTTGTCTCTCTTATGTGGACAATTTAACACATCAGGATGATGGGGAGCTGCAGAGTTTCAGAAACATTAAGTAATGCTTAAAGGCACAAAGGGAAAAAAGAAAAGAAAAATATAGGATATACAGTAGGGCAAGCTGTATTCATACACACACATTCTTTTTCTGAGTCAAAGCATGGCATTTACCTACTGACCTAAGTAGAAAGCCTATTCTGCTTTGTTCCATGGGGAGATCCTGGATTGCTTGTGCCTCAGGTAAGCAAGCTGCCCTGTGGCCGAGAGACTATGTATGTTCCTTGTCCTGCGGGATAGCAAAATTGCTCCTTAAGCAGTGGCTTCATCTCTTGACCTATGCCACATGATATCAGTCTGAGCCTTACACAGCCTTCTTATTTGCACTGAACAGAAGGGAAAGGCACTAAGTTCTCCATGTTAAGATAAGCCATAAAGGAGCAAAGTTTCTTGCCCACTGTCCCCTTGCTACCCATGTGGAACATATCATCTGTACTTTGGTATATGGTAGCAAATTCCTTGATAAATACCCTAATGGCTCCTCCGTATAAACTGCTAGGGCCACTTAGTATACTGAAGGACACTCCAGGTGTTCAAAAAGACAAACACAAAGAAATTCTACTCTTTGAACCTGAAGCTGGTTTATTAGTGGTCTTTCTGCATATTTTCAGCAGTTGGCAATTATAATTTATAAAAAGATCAGCTAATAATATGAGTTTCAGATCAGATTTAAGTCACAATAAATCATATGCCATTAATAACATCTGCTAGCGGGCTCACCTTGAAATTCATCTATATTTTAAAGAATCTGATGTTTCTAACATTATCTTAAGGAAATTAATTACAAAAATATATAGTTCCAGTCCCTATATCTCATGTTACTAAGATATTGGAAGAAGTTGAAAAAGGAATGATTTTCCATGGTATAGGAGAGTTCCCATTTAGGCAGATTATATAATGTGTCAAAAATTAATTAATGTAAGTCCAAGTACACTGTTCATAGAAAACATATACATTTATTGGCTAGACTGTTTATAATATGAGTTGTTCTGATAATGCTGTATTTTTAGAAAGGCAGGTTTTTATTTATGATATTTTAGACAAGAGATGATATACATCTTTTTTCAGGTGGTATGTTGAAGCATTATAATAAAAACCAATCATTTCATGAATATTTTTTCTTATTTTACACAGAAATGAAAAACACAGATTCTGCCAATTGCTAAATGCAACTTTCCATATAGTTATGTATTTTCAATTGCAGTTTGTCCTGCTAACAACAATATGTATGTGGCAATTATAAACCTGTTACAATATATTAAGTAGATAAAAACAAGCCCTATTTTAAAATTTCACTGAGTCAAAAGCTGTAACTTTTTTATAATTTACTAAAGGGCAAAATTTTCAAGAACATCTTGAACCTGATAATAGATGCAGATGATTAAAAGATTTGGGAACACAAGTCCCATTGCTGTAAAAAGACTAATTTTCTTAAGATATTTAGGGTCTTTTAAAAATCTTGCTTCAAACTCCTAAATTCTTCTCCTAGCCACGAAAAAATTAATCCTTCAGTAGCTAAATTAGTTTGGTGTCTGCTTTTTTCCAGAAACGTTGAGCTCTTGTGATCCCAGTTAGTCACTGACATCTGAAACATTTTTCTGAACCAGGCCTTTTGTTTTGTTGTAGTTTCACTCTGAAGAGTGGGGCTTAGACTATAATTTTAGTAACACAAATACTTTAAATTAGTATTATAGACTAGGAAATTTGAGCTGGATTCCATCTTGGCTGAAGTACCAAAAGAATTGTTAATTTTACTAAGAATGGAAGGTCAAATTCTACTTCATTTAATACATCTGCACAATTCCATTGAATGAAAAGGAGGCAAAAATGTTGCCGACCTATGACTTAGGACTGTTTTTGTTCTGCATAGTCCTTCTCTTAAACTGATGATTATGTAACAATCTGATCTCAGGTTGAATTGTCAGAGCTGGTCACTAAAGAGAAAAAACCTTATACTTTTAAACTAAGCATATGAAATCCCTACAACAAGGCCATGACTTGAATGTGGCAGTTTTATATACCTGGATGCCAGTTAGGCATATGTTGTTATAATAATAGTTATATATATATCTCACTGGGTTTGAGAGAATGTTTTTATTAGTTTGGGTAAAGTGCTTTAGAAGTCATCAACCCTAAGTGTTATGAATATGTAATACTGTTCAACATGTGACAATATTCCTAGGTTTTAATACAAGGTTTTAACATTACCAAATTTCTCAACAGTACAAACAATAAACTAAGTTGTATATTTTCAAAGCTTCTGATGGTTGGGAACATCCAGGTCCTAGAAGAACCCAAGATAATTATGTAAAAATGCACACAAATAAGCAATGCACACAAAATATTGTAATGTTGGGTGATTCTTCAGCTAAGCTAGGTCTGAATTCACTAGTTTGTCCCCTTTCTTTTCAGATTAACTGTTTCGTAGCATTTTATTGGTTAAGATAAATACTTTTGCCATTCTAGGGATGCTTTAAGAGGTAAATGTGTACAAATAACATGAAATAGGTTTATGATCATGAGTTCCAAGTTCAGTTAGGTTGTTTTAATGTTAGACCTATTTTCAGAAAACAACTCAGACATTTGGAAGCTTTAAATCTTACTGAAAATCAGTGGGATTCAGTTTTTTTATTGCTTGAATTCTGTGGGAAAATGTTACCATAGGCTATAAAGGCCTATATCTTTCTTTTATCATCCATAGAAGGGGTGAAGATAAAGGGTGAAGATAATTGTCTTTCCAGTACATTTTTAAAATTCATAGTGGGTTTGTAAAGATGAGTCTGTGGGGTGAAGGACATCTAAATAGGATAAAAAAAAAAAGTGAGGAAATCAAGCATCCCACCTCTGTCAAGCACCCAGAAGCATCCCCGCTTCTAAGTCTTTGTTTAGAAAGTAGTCCCGATGACCAGTAATTCACCAGTCAGAAACCAGTGTTCTACATTCCAGCATTTCATCAGCTCTTATATACATTCATAACTATCAAACTCAAAACTGCCTAGCAGCCAAACACTTCAGAGGATTGAAGTGAAGGATTGAATTACAGGGGTGTAGGTTGTAGCCGTGTTGGTCTAAGGACATAGGCAGACAGCGTTCCTAGGGTGAATCTGATATCTTTTATTAGACCAACTCAGTTAGATTGAAATTACTGCACTTGAAAAAGCCTTGTTCAGTTCCCAGTACCTCCTGTTAAGAGCAGGATCAAATTTCCCTTTATCAGTAAGGAACAGTCCAGTTAACTCTAATGGGAAACTAGAAGGCAATAGGGCCTGGGGTGGTATGGAAGCTAAGGTGCACCATTGATAGCCCAGAGATCAGAACTTCAGGGCCATAGCAGAAGTGTTCATGACAGCCCTGTCATATTCCAACATATCAGTGAATTCTGCTAAATACCTTGTTACAAGGATGTGAAAAAGGAGAGGAAAGAGGGCAGTATTTCAAGTAATGCAGGGTTAGTAAACTGGGACATACTGTTGAAATAAAAATCCAGTTTGGGTAAAATGTCCAGCAGAAAGATCTAAACATCAGATCGGTGCTGAGAATAATGAATGTATGGGATGAGTAAATTCTCTGTATATAGGAGATAGTGTAAACATTGAACAGAAAACATTCAAGTTAATATTAGCTGCATCTACACAAGACGTTGACTATGCAGTAGCTCATGACTACTGCGCTTTAGTGTTGCGTGGTATGAAGCATGATATGACATTACTGTGCAGTAGTAACAAGCTACTGCACAGTCAGTCTTGCCTAAAAGTTGGTCGGCAATGTTCCTGTGCAGTCATTTAATACTTGTCTCGTGTAGACATAGCTATTGTGATCTAAAATAATATTCAGTTATATTAGCTTGGTATCATCATACTGTAGCACTTAATAGCATAAAAGACCTTTTTAGTCTCAGCAAACTAAAGTAGGATTTATAACTTGCATTTACAGTTCTAAGTACATCATCTTAGAGATTTTCAAACATGAGTCTCTCCTCCTGATTTATAGCTTTTTATGATGAAGAGATCCTAAAACAGAAAAAAATAATCTCATATGCCTAATAATTTGATTAGTGTGGTATTCTTGACCTTGTATTCTGGAAATTCACTTTCATCTTAATTATGCTTTTATTTTGTGCCAGTATCTCTGCACTTGACCTCTGAAGAAACTGGCACTAAAAAAATAACACAA